TCCTGCAGGAGGAGAGAGGATATATTAGTGTGTGTGAAGCGGTTGTTTGTGTGTGTGTATGAAAGAGAGCATACAGATTCTGAGTGACAGAAAGAACATGACCATCGTGGGAGCAAAACGGTGTGTGTGCATCCGTGCATGTGTGCGTGTGTGTGTGTGTGTGTGTGTGTGTGAAGTGGCTGAGGCTGGCTGACATGGCAGAGGGGCCTCACACTTCCTGCTTGGCTGCTCATGCAAGTATTTTCTTCCTCTATCCTTTCCTTTCTTTTCCCTTCCTTCCCTTTTCCTCTCCTCTCTCATCTTCTCCATTCCTGTCCTTCCTTTCCCTTTCTCTCCTTTCCTTTTGTGTCTATTTTTTCCTCGCCCCTGCACACCTTCCTTCCCTTTTGTCTGCCTCTTTTGCTCACTCCTTCTCTCTCTTATTTCGCTATTCCTCCCTCTCTCCCTGCCTCTATGCTCAGGGGAAAGGGTTGTCATTGTACCATCGTGTTGAACCACTGAGCTGCAGCCACTTCATACATATGGAGACTAGGGCCTCTTTGCTATTCTCTTTTCCACTCTTGGAGACACACACACACACACAAAACAGTATAACACAGTATTATATTACTCTGTGCTGTACATACACACTATACCTGTTGCTAAAAGCTGATACCCAAACAGATGCACACTTAGATGGATGACGCAGACTGTAGTACCTGTTGATGGAGCTGACACTGGGGACGCTGTCGTTGTCACACACTCTCTCGGCCAGGAGCCTGTCCCGGATCTCCCAGGCAAACATGGTGGGGTTTTGGCGTTTGTAGTCTGCGATCTTGTCGACCACTTTGGGTGTAGCAACCTTTGGTTTGGATCCCCCAATCACCCCGGGGCGGATGCTGCCCGTTTCATAGTACCTGCCAATCAGTGCATAGAAAAATGCTTGTGTTAATCATCATTTTTAGTTTTGTTTCTCTGTTGCTTGTTTGACTGATTTTGTATGTTTTATGCTGCTGTTTGTTCAGGTCTCCCTCACGAAAGAGGTCTATGGTCTCACCCGGAGTCACCCACTTAAAAGGAAAAGGTGAAATAAAGCCCTCGTTACTTGTTAGTTGTCAGACGTTACTGTAGATAATTGCATCAGCTAAATGACTACAGGTGTAATGTAACTCAAACACCTGTCTAAAAATATTTTAAATGCCTGACTCAACCTGTGAATAGCTGCTGTTTTCACGTTGTGACACAGAGGTGATAATAGGATGGCACTGATACATACACACTAATGCAAATATGCACACACTCATCGATGCAAGCGTTTGGTGTCCACCATGGCTATTTCATGAATGTATTTGCATGTAGAAAGGGCATGGGGGCAGGGGGTGGGAGGACAGCAAATGTGCTACACAGCTTGCAGAAAAGGGGGGACGCTGTGTGTGGATGCAAGCTGTCAGTCAGTCTTAAACCGTCTCTCGCTCTCTGTCTGTCTGTCTGTCTCCACCGCTGTACGGTAGAGTAATCCCTTCCTTGAAGATGTGTGTTCCTTTAAATGTGCATTTCCCTGTCTTTCCTTTTGTGTGTGTGCGTGTGTTGCGCATATGTGGGAGTGTTGCCCGTTTTTACTACTCACAGCTGGAGTATAAACGCAGCTAAAGGAAAAACAATCTATTTTCAAATGGAAACTATTTAAATTATTCACAGCTGAATCATTGCCGAATAAATGAGCGTGGTTATTGATAGCCACAAAAAAAAACACACACACACACACGTACATACACACACGCTCATGGTGGTAGAGTTGGTGTTTTTGTTCTGCTGGCACCAGAGAGACAGAGAGGAGAGGATAAAACAATCCTCCCTCCCTTCCTCCCTCCTCCCATCCCTCGATCCCCTCTCCTCCCCCCTCACGGTAACGCTTCAGTGAGTTGAACGGCCAGGACAGAGGAGAGAGAGAAAGAGATAGAAAGAGAAAGACAGAAAAAGAGAGAGAAAGAGAGGCAAGGGAGAACAATGAGCAACACATTTTTTGATATAGCTGAGGGTCGCTGTGGCTAATCCTTCCCCTCTATCCCCACAAATGGTCTCTCTGTCTCTCATTTTCCTGCACTTTTCTTCCTTAACACGTATTTTCCCTTTTGATTGTGTTCCTTGTTCTTGTCTTTCTCCACATTCTCCATCTCCCTCTTTTTTTTTGAGTGCAGAAATATGGTGCCACTTTCATTTTGATGCTAATTACAAAAAAGTGATGAATCTTTTCCCTTTTGTCCCCCTTTCTTCTGTGGGGGACGGAATGAGCAGGGATTTACTCTTGAATTTAGCTTTGAAAAGCCAGAGGGAGAGGGAGACTGAGAGGCGAGTAGAGACAGGGAAATATCGAGAGGTGTCGGATGAGAAATACATGATACAGGGAGGGTGAAAAGGCAAAGAAAAAGCAGAGTAAGAGAAATAAGGGGAAAGGGAAAGCGAAGGCCAGCTACTGAAAGTGCAGTTTGTGCATGTTGAAGAAATGGCAGGACTGATACTAAATGAGTAAGTGTGACCTCAGACTGACAACCAGAATGAACCGGTGTTTGGTGCGGACATTGTTAATCCGTGCTACACTGCACTTCAAAGATTTCCATTTTATGTGAAGGATGGTGTCAAACCTTAGCCAGCTGTCACATCGTCTCACACTCAGCTGGACACTGCTTTGTGTAAAAAGAGTCCAGCTGTAACAGGACCGTCACCATGTGATAGTAGGTGCTCGTGTGCCTTTTACCTGCCCAGTATCTTGCTGACACATCCGTGGCTGACTCGTAACTGGCGTGAGATGTCACAGGGCCGAACCCCTTGATGGGCGAGTTCTACTATTCGCTGTCTCACTACATCTGGGAGGGGCCTGCCATTTACAAACACACCTCCAAGCTGGTTTACTCCGCCATGTCCTAGAAGAGAGAGACAGAGACAGTGTTTGAAATGAATCAGAGAGAAAGTCAAGGATGAGTGAGAGAGAAGAAATGTGATGGCTGCCTAGTGAGAAATATAAATAAGTTTACAGGCTATGAAATCAGAGAAAGCTGTGCAAAGGGAGGCTGATGAGGGACATGATGAGACAAGAATTTTTAACTAATACTAAACTGTTGGGGCATTAAAAAATACCAAGTGATCAACTTGCTAAGTCAGTGATAAGGACTTCTTAATTTACTCCAAGACCTGATCTTTCTTCTAATTAGATTTTTGGATAGATATGACAGAATGCTGGACAGGTGTGAGAAGGTCAAAGATCTTGCACAGGGGTGACTGATGCTTTTGCAATACAATCATCATGACTCCTCTGTCAACCTCGAATTATCTCTATCAGCCGGACCGAAACATATTCAGGCTGCTGAGACAGTCACTGCGTCATACATAAATATCGGGAGGTACTTTATTCCAGATGCTACGCTCTAGTCTTAAGCTAAGCATTCATATTCTACCAGTTCTGCTAAATGCACCTCTTCTCTTCTTCTTCTTCTTCTTCTTCTTATTCTTCTCTTTTTCTTCTGTTTAAAAGTTTGTAAAAGAAGTGCTTTTATTTACTTACTGATTTTTCTTTGCACTTACATTTAGTGTTTATGAAGTCGAGTTAAGAAATGATTCATTTCAGCAGAGCCACACTTTCTGTACTATGATCCTACAGTTGTTTGCTCCTGGCCAGAATCAGTTTACAATCTCACACACATCCGATTTCTCTGCTGCCACTGATTTAGCCTGCTCAGTATAATAGTACCAGTTGGACTATTCCACACTGCAAACTTTGCCTCTATTCACCCAGGGCAGAGTTTGCTAAGGCCCCAAGTAAATGAAGGGATTTCAGTTAATTATTGATTAAGGCCTGGCCCTGGCCCCTTACTGAAAGATACCGCTAATATTCCCCCTGAGGGTCTGAGGGGATGAAAGCAGAAGAGAGAACAAATGAAAAAGCGGCACACAAGAACCCAACAGAACAGTGGACAAGCTGAAACTATTATAGAGACAATACCTCTATAAGACAGTGTGTAGCAGTCATAATTCTGGCACACAGTTTTTATCCACTAGTCCTGTACTACTAGTGTAACCACAAAACACAGGAAGTCAAAACAGTTTAATTCACCTGACAAAACTGTATTGATGACAGAGAAACCAGGGTATAGATGATTAATAATTTAGGCTGTGTGGGTAATGACTGCATCCATCTAATTTCTATATCAGTACTTCTGTCCTGGAGTTCATCCCAGTATGCACTAGGTGGGTCTGTGACAGGAGAAGCACAGCGTAAGGCCACGGTCAGACCATGGGCTCTTCTTGCTTTGAGGTGACAGTACTAACCACTGTATCAACCAGTAGAAAGACAGCGTGAGAGGGACAAACAGTGAGAAGAAGAGAAGGACTATTTGGGCAATACTCTCTCTCCTGCTACCCATTAGTAGCTGTATATACTGTATTTGTGTATATATCTCACCACAGGCAGGGTATAAATCAACCAGAATTTCTCCACCACATAATCCACTGGCTTTTGTATTACCATAGTGATTACGTCTTTAGGGGAAACACACACACATGTACACACACACACTAATCCTAGCTGTGGGGGTAATAGATTTTAAACACATTACCCCAGCAGGGATACCCCCTCACACACAAAGCTGTCCCCTGAACCTGTCCCCCTGTCCTCTTCTGTTTACCACCAGCGCAAAATAAAGAAACACAAACACTCCTCCGGGCCCAAATATAAACAGGTCCGTGCATGGAGAACGAAGACAGAAATGTGAAGTCTAGAGTCTCATTTTATGAAATCAAACAAAGCTATTCTCAAATGGCTGATGTGCACGGTCACCCTCTTCCTTACTATGTTACTTTTTCAGATAGAAGAAGCCTCATTATGCAGAGGTCTGCTGCAAACAGCACAATTTGAAACGCAATCGCTCTTTACAAACGGCAGCAATATATAGACAGTAATTTCCATTTATGCAGTGCCAGTGGGACTCGAAGACTCAAAGACTCAATGGTGTGAAATGTAACAAACAGTATGAACTTTAAAGACAGTGTCACATCAGCTGTGTCAAAAGCATTTACCTTCATTACCTGTTTGACTAAAGGATCAATCCGCTAAATTTAAGAAACAGTGCTTTAGCATTTCACTGACTTTACACATCAACCACAGTTTATCCAACATGGGGAGCACCACTCAGCTTGTAAAAAATAAAAACAGTGCCATGGTATATGCCGTAACTCTTCTGGAGGGAGCTTTCTAGCATCTGAGAAAATGACACGACTGATGTCATCAGAGTAATCTTAGCTTGGTTGGTCACTACAGATTTATAAAGCTTGGAGGGTATAATGCAGATGTTGCTGAGATGCATCATGGGAAGGGATCTAGCTCTTGTGGAACTTAACATAATAGTTAGGATACATTTGATTATTCTAGCCCTTTGACGATAACTAATCTTTTCTTTTTTACCTGTCACTTGCAAGTCTTCCTACCTTGTGAACCTGAAATATTAAAGTCACTGGAGTGTGGTAGTGTAGCACTGACCAACAGGGAAACATTTCAAAATGAGGTAACACATGTTTTTTGAAGTAACACAGAATGTGTAAATATTCTTTAATGACGTTAGTATGTTTGTTGGGCAGCAATGCAAATAAAATAACATGCACAGTTGTCACTCTATGAAAAAAACAATTCACTGGAAACTGAGTACTTGTTTCAGTTTGGTTTCAATTCTTTGGGTTGTGTGGTATCAGTGAGACAATGCTCTTCAGAGGCATATGAATTCAATGTGGGTCATCTCTAAATACATAACATGTCATTTAGAGTCACTTTTAGGGCTCCCTGTATTGTTGTTTTGTAAGAGTGTATGTCCAGGAAGTAGCTTTTGTCCCTTGTCTGCTGTTTGAAATAACTGAAATCAGAATGTATGATTCACTCTCTATGACAATTCACTGGTTTCCTGTGAGTCTTCTGATAGTATTTTATATGAATAGGTACAGCGAAGAGTCAGGGCAAGTCAAATAAACTTAGTCATAGCCCAGAATCACAAATTTGCCTCAGAGTGCCTTATAATTTCTACAGCACCCTCT